TCAAACCCTGAAACAACCTCTGGGCTGATCTAAGTCAGGGCACGGCTAACTCACAGATCAAACCCTGAAACAACCTCTTGGCTGATCTAAGTCAGGGCATGGCTAACTCACAGATCAAACCCTGAAACAACCTCTTGGCTGATCTAAGTCAGGGCATGGCTAACTAACAGATCAAACCCTGTAACCACCTCTGGGCTTATCAATGTTAGGGCATGGTTCAAATTGGAATTTATCGCCGTGTATGGTTTGGCAGAGGGAGGAATACCGGAGAACCCGGAGAAAACCCCTCGAATCAAGGAAGGCGAGTGTACTACTGCTACATCCCATTTGTTATTTTAAAACTAATAATATTTTATTTACCTGAACTTCAAGTCCGGATCGTTCTCGTGTACCAATCGGATTGGGTTATACGGTACGTTCTCCGAATAGTAATCAATGTAAGGCTTCATCATCCGATAGTAGACCTTCCACGTGACGACCACGTCCATACCGCTGTCCAGAAATATTGCACCAGCTACTGACTCAAAGATGTCACCCAGGACTTTGGGCGCTTCGACTGCTTCGTCGTCCTTGTCGGACATGATGAGGAATGGCTCGTCGCTTATCTGGAATTTTATAAAGCACTTGTAAAAAAGACGTTCGAACTTTTAGAGCCTAGTCTCCTCCAAAGCCAGCCTTTTTTTCAGACTTAGTTTCAGTTTCAGATTCTCCCAGTAAAATAACGACCTACCCTTAAAATAGTTTGACTAGTAATTAGAATAGACCTCCTTGGCTACGGCGTAATGTATTCCCCATTTCAGACCGTGTCATTCCCAAGAGTATCATTTCTTTTCTTTTTCTTTCATATGAGAAGACATATGAATATAGAAACGACTCAAGAAAAGAATTTTACTTTCAAGAGAATGACACGTGGTCTAAAATTGGAGGAAAACCTCATATCCACAAACTGACCGAGTCCATCTGTCCGTCCATCCATCCCTCCCTTCAACCATCCCTCCACCCCTCCTTCCATCCCTCCATCCAACCTCCCATCCATCCATCCTCCCATCCATTCATCCATCCTTCCTCACTCCATCCATCCCTCTCTCCTTCCCTCCCTTCCTTCCTCCCTCTATCCATCCATCCCTCCCTCCCTCCCTCCCTCCATTCTATTGATCTTTATTTACCTTTGGTTTGCCCTCTTCTTCGTCATCCTCGAGTTTCTGGACAAAATCCCCGATTTTTTTAAACCATTCCGGTGAAGTCTGTTTAAGGCACTTGTGATAACCATATTCAACGGCAATTTTGGCAAAGATGTTATTGTTCACTAAAGCCTGGCGCAGATCTGTCAGCTCACCAGGAGAGAGGCGTTGGTTCCTGGAGTACAGACATTCCGTAACGACAAAATCGAGGACCGCGTCGCCAAGGAACTCGAGTCGTTGATAGCAGTCGGGAGTCAGTCTATTGTGCGCATACGAGGCATGAGTTAAGGCTTGAAGGAGATAGATTTTATTGCGAAATTCGTAATTGATGCGACGTTCAAATCCCTGAAGTTCGAGTGCAGCATTTTCGAGGTCCTCAGGGCGGGAGGATGGGAGCGGATCGCAGGGTGGAGTAAGGAAGGACGCGTAGTTGCTTGGTGAGCCGGAGGGGGCGGCGTTGTCCTCGTCTGGAAGAACCTTCAACACATAAAAAGATCTTGAGATATTGAATTTTAGTTCGTCATTGTTAATTTAGAATCATTCCGGCAAATCTGGTATTACCGTTTTAAAATATTTGCGTAGAAGAAAGAGACAAAGGAATAGGACGACAAGGAGAAGGAGGAGGAGGAGGGAAGGAGGAGGGGAGAAGGAGGAGGGAAGAAGGAAGAGGGAAGAAGGAGGAGGGAAGAAAGAGGGGAGAACAGGGAAGGAGCAGGGGAGAAGAAGGGAAGAGAGTCGTACCATACCCCCATCATGACCCCTCCACGTGAACCTTATTTTGAACCAAATATCAAACATCATATTCCTACCTTTATTCCTAGATAGTCAAGGAAATACAAGGCTCCCTTGTACCCACCAGACACTAGATAAGCACCGATCAATGCTTCAATGCTGTCGGCAACCGACTTGTCAGATATCGTCTGGCTTGCAAAATCTTCTTGCTTTGACTCGGAGTCGAGCTTCTGCCTCTTTGCCTTTTTCTTACTATTGAAACGTTCTTGAAGAATCTTGCCTGTGCTTAGAGGTTTGACTTGAAGGCATGGTGGCGCCCAAGACTTTCGATCCAGAACGGTTGTTTGCATGTACCCAGGAAGGTGATGAGCGGTTGATACTTTGTACAACTTCAGGTTACTGATTTGACTCACTTTACGTCGGGTTAGTTTGCCTTCATCTTTGTTCGTATAAAAACAGAAGAGGTAAATCGAGACCGCTTGTTTGAGGAAGGCATCGCCAAGCATCTCGAGTCGTTCCAGGTCAAACGCATCACCAGCGCCCTTCGTTGTCAAAGCTTGCAAAAGAAGAGCTGAATCGGGTTGAAGAAAGTTGGTTCGATTCTTTGAAAATAGACTATCAAGATTTTTGCTGACTGACTCAAATTCCTTGTTATATTTATCACGTTTAGAGCTCAGTGCAAATCTTTGTGGTACCGGGATCTCCACCATTGTGTTGCCCGCTACAATATCTCCACCAATTGTCGATAGGTCTTCTTCGTTCTGTTCTACACTGAACTGCTGTACATCAACCCTACATCCTTCAGCAATTAGTTTCCTCATTTCCATTACTAGCAGCAAGGATGTCATTCTGTGCAGGATAGATGGAAGTTCTCTTGCCTCAAGAAGAAGTTGGGCAGAAAACGGTTCTAACGTGCAAAGCTCAGGAATAAAGTGAATATCTTTTTTCGTTTTTTCTTTCGATTTCACTTTCTTCCTGTCGACAAGAAAGTTCACTCGCTGGGGCATGCTCTTTACAAGAATCAACGGCTGGGCTTTCCGAGTAATTCTCTGCAAAGATGGGTATTCCTTCCGAAAGTACTCCTCGTAAGTCTTCGCCTTGCTTCGTTCAGGGAATGCACTCATTGGGCTTAAGTTTGTACAGCTGTCTTCAATGATAAACCTCTCTCTTGGTCTGTGCATTGGAGTGATGATTGAATCACCACTCTTCACGTCTTCCAGTCTTGTTATTCCTACCGCTTTTTCCTGACAAAGAACTTTCTCTGCTCTATCAAAATCGATCTGAATTTTGTCCATTCTTGTACTGGATGATGTTCTCAGTGGAATTATATAATATCCGTTGACATTTTGCCTCTCGAAGGAATTGCGTAGCATTTCTGATGAAATCCTGGAGTGGAATTGGTCGATGAGTGAAAGCTGAGCATCTGTTAATCTTTGTGGTTTTGCTATGGGTATGACAGAGATGGTAATGGCACCTTCGTCGGGATAGAGTGTAAAGCGACGAACCTGGGAGGGAAATTCATATGGAAAGATAAACTACTTCATCTTATACCTCCCTCAGAATGAGAAGGAGAAGGAGGAAGACAAAGACGAAGACAAAGAAAAAGAAAGACAAAAAGAAAGAAAAGGGGAACGAGAACGAGAAGAAAGAGGAAGACAAGAAGGAAAACTCATAACAAATGTCATCGTATTTTAACTAAATAGTCTAACAAACTTTTTTTCAACTCACCGGAGGTAGTTCTGAAGTCATCAGGATCCCAAGTTTCAGAACTTCTTCCTCGACAGAATGACTGTCTGTTGCCTTGTTGTGGGATTTAGTAAAGCCATACAAATAGCAACGGTCTCTTGGCCCGGTAGGTAAACTTTCTTGAAAAATGTCCGGAACCTGATATAAACATTAGGCAAAAAAAATTATGCTCCACGTAGAAACTATAAAAAAAATAAGCATGTCGTTAATTTTAACTTGCTAAATTAGTTGTAAAATCAGGGAATTCGAATAACAGCACACTTAACAGCTCTATTGTCAAAATGTTTTTTTCTGTCGAAAAAACGCGCTGCAACATCGAAATGGTTTCCATTCAGCGCGCGCAAAATACTGTAACACCGAAATGGCTTTCCTTTTGTGTGCGCAACGTGAAATGGCTTCTATTTAGAACGCGCAAGATGGGTTCCACTCAGCTCGCAAGCAATTTTGTCATAAAAAAACGACAGGTTTTTAGCACGCGCACCACGGTGTGACATAAAATGACTTCCCTTTAGAAAGATTAGATTTAAGATGATTTATTTTAAATGGAGACAATCAATAGGGTCAAAGCTAGCTACCTTTCTTGGATAAACTTGTTTTTTCCTCTTAGTCCCTGATTTAGGCTGTCCTGCGTCTCCCATTTCCACGTCCTGGTCCTCGTCCTCACTTTCCTCATCTGACAAGCTTTCAATTGGGAAGAGGTGGTCGTCCAGTTCTCCTTCTTGATGGAGTCGTTTGCACGCTTCATAAGCAGCGGCCATTTTGGCTTGCTTTTTCCTCGGCATGGGATCTCCCTTATAGTAAATAAATCTGTATTATTATTAGTGATATAGGAAATATGCTAACAGTTGAGCTTAGTTGCATGGCTTTAATAGAGGTTTTGCACCATCACGTGACAGCAGCCATGTTAGATGGCAGGAACAATACGATTGTTTTACATGAGAAAGAATTCAATTCCCGAGAGCAAGAGAATCTTATTGTCCTGCCATCTAGCCACAGGCAGTCCAAGCTGTATTATGGGCGCTGGAACGTGATGGTGCAAATTTTCTATTCCCTCTTAAACGTTTGGAAAGCATTAATATCTCTTACTTATTGAAAAATCAAATCCAAAAGTCTTTCTTGACCTCATGTCAAATGACACGAAAGACATACATGAGCAAAATCGAAATCTCTACTTACCATGAGCGCAAGAGCTCGCTTTAACATCAATATAACTTGAATAACAACACTCTATTTTACTAAGCGCGCGCAACAACGAAATGGCTTCCCATAAGCACTAGAAGCACAAGTAACTTTGAAATGGTTTCCGCAACATTCGCGCGCAATATTCTGCAACATTAAACTGGCTTCCTCCCAGCATTCCCGGTGTAGCAACAATATGGTTTATTTTTATGGTATTATGCATCTTGTTGCCATTCACACAGAACTACTTCTGCACATAGTTAGCATATACCTGATTAAAGTGCCATCTCTTAATTTCGTGAATTTTAACTCCCCTTTCTAGTTGCGACCTCCACTTTAACACTGCTATGTAGTCAAACTCTCCATTCAGTGATAGTGTTCCCCCTTCAGAATTGTTTGACAACTCAGTTGAGAATCTTTCATCTAAACTGCATTTTTCATAATGCGAATTTTGAACATTTCTATCTATGTTTATCTCGAATACAGCCCGCGAAAGTTCGCGAAAAATTTTCCTCGTTCTACTGAGGTGGTGTAAACCAAACCTTCTCGCTTTAGAAGTTAAAATTTGACTCATTTCGACATCATTTTCCAGTAGATTATTTGGAAGTTTAACCACACGTAGTGCGTGAGTTATGATGTAATAAAGACGTTCTAAGCGCCTGTTCTAATGGATAATGCGATAGTAGTGAAATAATCTACATTCGGCTATTTGCAAGACAAAATATGATTAGTCTCTAATGAGAATAGGGTTTTCTCGATGGCGTGACGGCGGCCAYGTCGGATGGCAGTACATCAGAATCTCTTTTTACCTGATCACTTTTGCCATCCAAGATGGCTGTCATCATATTTCCGTATTCGACCCAATTTTATTTTTCCTAATGATAGTGAATGTAAGTGTCAATATGCTTCACTCACCACGATCTTTTCTTTGATTGGACAGTTTATCGGCATGGTGAGAGTAGTTTGGAAGGCGTCTTTTCCAATCTCTACAGTCTTGTAGTCAGGATTAATAGGCGTGAATCTATCACCTGGTAGTTTAGAACAGTATCTGTGGAAAATTAAAGATATATAGAAGACCATTAACAGATGATGATGATGATGGTGATGATGGTGGTGATGGTACTGGTGAAGATGATCATGATGATCGGATGACTGATGATAATTATGATGATGACTGATGATGATGACTGATGATAATTATGGTGATTGATAATGACTGATGATGATGATGACTGATGATGATGATGACTGATGATGATGATGATAATGACGATGGTGACTGATGATGATGACTGATGATAATTATGGTGATTGATAATGATGATGATGATAATGACTGATGATGATAATGATGATGATGATAATGACTGATGATGATGATGACTGATGATGATGACTGATGATGACTGATGATGATGACTGGTGATGATAATGATGATGACTGGTGAAGATGATTATGATGATCGGATGATTGATGATGATTATAATGATGATGACTGATGGTGATAACAGATGATGGCTACGACGACTGATGACAAACGAACTTAACTAAGTTAGAAAAAAAACAACCACACATTGACTTACTTGCATAACAATGCAATACTGTTGGCCATTGTCACACTTGCCCCCTTCCTGGTTCGATATGGCTGTAGAAGATCAGTATCCACGGCCTCAGTACTTTCCTCGTCAGTTGGAATACGACGGTCGTAACAAACATTAGACAAGTATTCTTCAATTGCCTGGTACATCTATTAAAAAGGAAGTATGGTTATACCGTGTTTCTTATACCTATCAATTTCACGTATATTTCTATTCCTACATCTTCATCAAATTCAGCGAACCAATCACTATTCCTGGCTTTCACTCAGCTGATAAAAGTTTTTGAATCTCACTATCTGCTCCAATTGGTAATGAAACACTGACCACCATTTGCTGTCAGCACGAGACGAAACTACGTCGCTAATGTAAGACAGCAATTGCAGCAGTTTTGCCAGTGGAATTCAAATCTTGTCCCACAAACAAATACAGAGTAATTTATTCTCAGGATGTGAAGCAATTGAAGCAATTTAGGATTTATTTCACGCAATCAGAGTGTTAAATTTTGAGATATTGTAGCTAATTTGTTGAGCTTGTGGGACATAGTGTGACCAAGTGGATGTTGAACGGCAAAGACGATGAAACTCATTGCAGGTCTTTTCCAAGATAGGTCGCAGGAAAAGAAGTGAAACTAAAACTAAAACTTGGACTAAACAAAAACACAACTAAACAGCACAAAATCTGGAGCAGAACTGATTTATTTTTCAAATTACGAATACTGTTGCGTGATCACTTACATCATCATTCCAAATATGGCTAGTACAAACGTAACGCAACAAACTCGACTAAATCTTCAACCAGTATGTTTTCAACCAGTTTTCAACTTGGTTACAATAGCAACGGTAACTAAGGGGGTTTGAAACTATAAATCCATTTCAGGTACACATTTTTATCCCTATAAGTTCATCTAATCAGTTACATTGTTATTCCTATACGTTTTTCTAAATTAATTCAAGTCCTTCCTACCTCTAGTTCTGCTGTATCTTGGCCATCTGGTAGAAGTATGATGTAGAACGAATCTTTGGCCCTGGCACGACCCTTGGACTGTACATACGATTGAAAGGTCATTGGAAAATCGAACCTAACAACGAGGTTACATCTTGGAACATCAAGGCCTTCCTCCACTACGCTCGTAGCAATGAGCAAGTTAAACTCATGGTTCCTAAACTTTCTCAAAATCTTGTCCTGCTTTTTACAGCTCATGTCTTTAGCGCTGCTTGCCGCAGTACCAACCATACCGTGTCCCACGACGTACTCACACTTGACGAAGCTGAGCGCCTTATCATGTCGAGATAACAGGTTAATCTGCTCACAAAGCACGGCTGCTGTGCATCGTCGTTGTACGAAAACTATACCACAGAGTTTTTTGTCGCCTGAAACACATAAGATAAAATGTTGTTTCATAACAATTGTTTGTTTAATCATTCCCAAGAGAATGACATAACAACTGAACACTTGGTGGCCATGTTAGTTGATATTACAAAAGAGATTGATGAAAAGTCTTTCGTTAAATTCAACCAAGATGGCGGCTGTGAAAACCAGCAATTGCACCCCCCCCCCACCCCCACAAATAGGTATAGAATTTATGAAACATGCGGGAGGGGGGGGGGGCACTAAAGGTCGATCTCAGAGCGCTCTTCTAATTCATTGGTGCGATAGAGCGAGTGATCCACCTACACGCAAATAACACAAAACTGAGTCATGACAAAGGACAAGAGGTTTTACTGAAGTTAGACCAGAGTGCATCGCGTTGACGAACAGACCGTACCTGTTCCATACTGCTTCAAGATTTCAACCAGTGCCTTAACCTTGGCCGACACGTGTTGAACACTGTTATTTGAAGGTCCATACAGCTTGGTTTTGTAGGTTTTGTAAATCTTTTGAACTTGACGCAACTGGGTTGAATTGTACCCCATCAACCAATGAGAGTACTCGCTACTCAAGAGTCCACGAGTCCTGGAAAACCGGTCTTTTGAAGGAAAAAGATTCGCTTGTTATTGAGAGACGGACATTACCTTTCACTGCTAGCAGCTAGCTTAAAGTTTCATTGTCACATTTTTTTCCAATCTCTATATTCATTGATAAAAGATAAATAATTAATAATAAAATAAAATAATAATCATAATAATAATTATAATATAAATTTAAAAAATATTTTTAAATATTTGCCGTCTCGCTATCACACTCAGTGGTCAGTCACAATTTAGATTCCTCCCTTTCGCGCTATCTGGTTCAGTGACACCATTGGTAGCTTAAGCTATTGGTCGAATTAAGGTATTTCTTGCGCATGCGTAGACACATCGCTACTAACCTGTAATATCAAGGAAATACTCGGCGACGCGATTAGCTGCCGACGCCCCTAAAACCTCCAAAGTCTCAATACATTCCTTGACGATAGACTTCGAAAGTTTCATAACCTCACTTTTGTCTCGAACATCATTAAGAAACTCATCCCATGGAAAAAGAACCTCCTGATTAAGACGCTCTTGTAGCTGTTTTTCTTCTGCGCTTACATCTTCACTAGTTGAGTAAGGATGGGCGTGTTCTGTTGGTTTAGTGGCGTACTGTCCAACACATTCATCACTCGATGTTTCACACGATGCTCTTAGTATCCTTTCCAAGGTTTGTATTTCTTGTTCTATTCTGTGAGGTTTCACTTTTCCGTTTACGATAGAAGCCGTGAGGCCTAAAACTCTTGGGTGTTCATTACGATTATATGCCGTAAAGTACCTCATTACCTACATATAGGAAAACACTAATATCAAAAACTAGTGGACTCACTATTAAAATTCATTGGCTAACAAACTATATATTTTCTCTTCATACTGACTCTTGAGGCTTCTGCACCGTAACGTAACATGCACCCCAAGAATTAGCGTAAGCTATTTAGAAGTGAAATAAACTAAAAACTAAACTAAAAGAAGCTGTGTAATCTAAAGTGGAAAAAGAACTAGAGCATTTCTGTACGTACCTGGGCATAAGGGTGCTCTTTCTTGGCGTGATGACACTCATCGAACACAATCAAGTTCACTTTCGACAACTGAATTTTCCCGTGTCCAAGCATGTCAACAAAGATTTGAGCCGTCATGACAAGAACTTGGTGGTTCTTTAGCTCTTTAAGCCACCTTTCTTTTTCCCAAAAATCTACCCCGTCCTCTCCGACGTATTTACCAACGGAAAGGTCAGTGTTCTGGACTATCACTTTATGTTGCTGGGCAACCAAAGGAACTGTATACGAGATAACAATAAAAGCGTTAAGGACACGTTGAAACTTTTAGCTGAAACTTGTCAGAGTGCAAAGACGTTGCTAGACGGGGATGTTGCACTGCGCTATTTAGGTTTTGTGAAACTTTCGTCGCGAGAAGGTTTCACGAAAAGTAGAAATGATTTCTGCTCGTTCAACCGAAGCTAGTGGCGAGAACAAGTTTCAGATCGAAATTGCGCCGTGTACTTCTCGAATTTCCGTGCAAATGTACTGTCCGGATGTACTGGCTTTAAATGAACTATTTACTTGGTTTGTTTAGTTAGTTCTCTAAATACATGTAAGAAATCATTTTTCTAGCTTGATTGAAGCTTTTCTTACTGCTGTTAAGAAAGCTAACTAAAGAAATCTACCTAAATTTTCTCTTTAAAGTCAGTGAATTTGTATGGGAATCTGAGAACAATGTCCGAACTTTTTGGTGACCGTAACACAATCCAGCGCCGAATAGGTGAATTAAAACTGAATTGCTTTATTATCAACTCTCTTTTTAAAGTTACAACATTCTTTTGCTGAAATAGTTTTTAACATTTTGAAATTAAAGTTTCTTTTTTAAATAGCTGATTGTATTTTTCCTTCCCTGAGAGACCCGCCCTTGGGCTTCCTGTGGCATTATCTTGACGTTGCGTTACCATATTTATATATTATAGATGACGTCATCCAGGAATTGTCAATTTTTTCTTCGACGATTCCAAAATGATTCAAAGAATTTCTTACTAAATTCCTGAATAATCTTTAATCTTACCAAATCTTACCTGTATTAACAAGAAAAAATGTTCTTTTCCCACCGTCCTCATAATCCTTCATTATTTGATGTGACAATTCTTTGATCAGCAAAACGCTTATGAAAGTCTTGCCCGTTCCTGTACCAAGACACACAACGATGTTTTTCTCCAAGGCTTTTTCCAAGAGTTCGACTTGATATGGCCGAGCAGACAGGCTTTCTTGATTCTCCTGTGCCCCCGATTCATCTCTAGTTGTAAGATCGGGCGCTGCATCGTCTTCACTTTCGATATCTGAGTCGTATTCCATGTTCGTAAAACAGTAAAATATTATTGTAGTCACAGCAAAAAATTAGATATTACTATAAATGACAATACATCTTAAACAAAGACTATGAAACTATCAAGCTTTTGATCAGGTTTAGAATTACTAGCAAACGATAATTTAGCGAGAATCATAAAATTTCTCAGAAAAAAAACAATCCTTGGAAAATTATTTCCGCTTATAGTTTGAGAGAGAGTAGTCACCAGTCCTCCGAGCACAAGTCGATGGTTTATCACTAATAGCTAAAAAGATCATAATCTGGACTAGGTCTGACACCCTGTGCAGTAGATAGAGATAGATATTTTTTTAGAAAAAGTTAGTGATATTATTTTTAAAATATTTAGAAAAATTATATATATATCACAACGATATATGGAAGAAGCATTTAGTTAGGATCTTTAAAGTTAAAACTTAATGATTTGCATATTTGGGTACTCCGGATGGAGCTGACATTATCAAGATGATCAGTGTAAGTAGACACCGTAGGCAGCGTTAACCTAGGCTTTTCATGCCATTCAGTCTTTTCAATGAAAACTTTATTGCAGATAAGACCATTTCCAAATAGCACAGTTGTTAATTTAAAAAGAAACGCGTGTTTACCAGTTTGGTTGGAAACCAGTTGGAAACCCTTTTTTATCTTATTGTCAGAATTTTCAGAGGTACCTGAAAAACATCAGATTTAAAGACGAAGCATTATACGCGACTTTCATAACTGGCTGCTGCTAATTTGCATAAACATTAAAAATCAACGTTTTTGGAGTGAAAATCCTTTTAAATCATTGATATCGTTGATTTAGATAAGGCGTGTGAGTTTCTACTTAATTAATACATCCTTTACAAGATGTGAGCATTTGAAGTTTTGAAAATGCACCAAAACGAGGCCACCAAGGCTTCCAGTGACAAATACATACAAAACTCTCTATTTTCGTTCTTTCATAACTTCTTTGGTATGCAGTCAAATTCTACGAAATTTTCTGGAAATAGTTTTCGTGAAGTATTTTCTCAGATAACATTAATAGTTTCTGGTAAAAAGGCTTCATTTTCTCTATCTGAAAAAAATGAATTATGAAAGTCGTCTATGACGTGACGTGCATTTTTTATCCATATGCACCGAAACAAACTTAGAACCCCTATACCACTATAAAGGCTGATTAACTATCACAATAAATACATTTATTTTTGAATAATATAGATTTTAAAGACCAAATTATCTTATCTTTCAATTTTATTGTTGCATATATACTTTTATTTCATTTTCTTTTTAAATTTGTCTTACTGTTGACCTGCATATTTTGTTTAATAAGAACATCATTGCAGGACGAAAAACTATTTCTGAACAACCACTAGCTGACATATTGTCCCTAATATCTTACTTATCCATCTGTTTCTTTCATCTTCTTCACAAGTCGCCAGCACAATTTGACCTCGGAATCCATACCCTTTACTTCGTATCCTAATGCAGTATTTAATGCTTGATGATTCTCGCCGTTCTTCAAGGAAAACCGCAACATCTTTCAAATTAATACTTGAGAACGGTTTTTTCAGTTCTGCATCTGTCCTCGTGTGGTAACAAGTAAAATAAAGTCCGTCTAAAACAACGTAAACTTTGGTCCAAAGAACGTAGTTTCTTCGGTGAAGTTCCTTGTAAAGCGAACCTTCCATTTCAATAAGTTTGGTCAAGTTTGGTATTCACTGATTAATTACACAAACTGTTCAATCCATTCCGTTCATTCAAGTTATAGTGAAAAATCAACTGATCCCTGACGGACGTCGTTTCTGAGGAGTTGGACTACTTTTTTTTTTTCGATTCCTTCTTTTTCCTCTATTTTTCAATGAACGAAGCAATTCATTACTATCGATCAGCCGGTTCAGTTTCGTGTTCCTATTTTGTCGTCCATTTTTCCAACTGACTCAGTATTTCGTTTCGCATGGACTTGAAGCATCTTAAGTGATACCAGCACCTTCACCAACGTCATCTTTGTTCTAACTTGATTTTTGCGGTTACCATTAATTATGAGAAAAAATGACGTTGGTCTCCGAAGAATAACCCGCCGCTTTCTAGAATCATAACAAAAAGTGTTTCCCACGAGACGCAAATCACGTCTTCGTGCTGTTTACGATAACGGTCATGCTTGCTCAACCATGTGCTCAGTACCTAGCTAGCATTACATGGAGTACTTTGACGTAAATAAATAGTTTTGCAATTTCGAGTTAATATTTGAACAAGTTGTCGCCAGTAACAAAGCGTAGCAAATGGATGAGGCTCAGTTTAAATAGAGATGTACAGACTCCACAAATAACTTTCCTTATTACTTTGTGCCCTAAAAACGACACTTGGACTTCACGACTGTAGGCCACAGAACTGAAATTCCGGCCCAGATTGTTTACACATTTGTCGATATAAGCCTTTTCACAGTTTAAGAATCGATTCCACTGCGCATGCGATTTTATCCCGAATTTCTACCTTCTTTTGTCTAAACCTTCTTTTGTTCTTAATTAAACAAAAGAAGGTGAGAAATTCGGGATAAAAACGCATGCGCAGTGGAATCGGTTCTTAAACTATGAAAAGGCTTATTACCAATGACCTGGCTGCAACAGCTATCGTCAGTGGTAAAACTCACGTCTAAGGTAATGAAGAAGACAACTCGATGCTACAGAGAGCTTCATTTGAAAATTTCTAGAAAGGCGACACATAGACAGAACAGACATAGTTTGGTGCGGCTGGGTGGAAAGAGACGTACTGAATCAGCAAAAGTTGAGGTATGTACATGTGGACAAATCTGTTTAAAATATTGCTTATTTGAGATATGATTTGAAGGAAAGGTGGCCTGAGAGAATGTTAGCAGAGGAAAATCAATGCACAGAACGAGTAGAAAAAAATCACCGTCGGTGTAACCTTAGTTTTAGTTGCTCTTTTACTCCGACGAAGGACTAGCGTCCGAAACGTCAGTACGTTTTCTTATCTTTTCACGGTGCGTGTATAATGTACCCTTTTATCATTAATTAATTAATACTATGTTATTATTACTGAGTTGAGCCATCAAATCGTTCAACCCTTAAAACATTATTATCATAGTTGGCGCTGTCGTTCCGAATCACCTTTTAGGATTAGGGAAATTTTTGTAGATATTCGCTTGTTTCCGCTGGAAAAAAATTGAAGTCTTATAAAAAAATTCTGATTGACCCCAAGGACAAGCCGATCGCTACCTTTCCTAAACTTAAAAAAATATTGATTTTTTATGTTTTCACAATGACGTTTTATAATTGATAATTTTTTAAAAAGTATTTTCGATTTATGATATTGGTCGACCAATCTCACTCTGCTGACAACATCGGAGGAAGTCTGGTCTCGACCTAGTAACAAAAGGCAAAGTTTTTTTTATAGGAATCGCATTACTGTTTATTTCTCCACAATTCAGAGGAAAGAAAAGCCCGGTCCTAATGAAATCAAGTTTAAATGAGTGGAGATGCCTTAGGAATGTCTCGATGTTTTTGCTGTCTGTTTCTTGGATTGGCACAGGGAGAGGTATATTGCCTTTGTTGTCTAGTTGTGATCATTGAACGCTTATAAGTCACGTAAGCTTTTATACATTTCCACGTCAAATAGCCTTAAGTTATTTTTCTGAAGTAAGAAACAAATCATATTTTTGTACAACGATTTGAAAAAGCCTTCCCTACTTCAATTTTCGTTATTCGTAAGCTGTTCATCTTCGTGCTTTCGCTTTGCGATAATTACCGATGGCTTTTTAATAGAATAACTGGACGTGTCTTTGCTTGTTGGAAAAATAGAATTGGTTTTCCATCCCAGATGTAATCATTTAAGAAACAGCATAATGTCCAGTAACTAAAATGTCGCCGAGAAGTACAAATTGAAGTGAAAATTTCAATGATCTTAATTTGTGGCACGCCATCAGAATTGAATCCTTCGATTGTCTGTTTGTATTTTCCTCTGTTCTAGAATTCTCTATTAAAATTTTAACAGCAAATATTCGGAGAATATAGAACTGTAAAGCATATTAATTGAAAATTTATTTCTTCATAAGGCAAAGTTATAATTTATATACTGTTGTTAATAATGCATAGAAACCTTGCCTCTTCTAGCTAATTACGTACATATTTACTGTACGTACATATCAACTAATGGTATAAAATGCTGGGACTTCTTTTGAGTATTTCAAACCCGGACTTTTTCAAAATGATAATGTATTTTATATTATTTGTCTCATAGTGAAATTTATATCTTGTAAAAAATCTGCTTCCAAAGGTAGCCTAGGAAACATGCGTAGTTATCAGGCATAAAAACGAATATTTTCCATAATGTTGAATTTCTTGAATGTTTATTGGTTCAGCTAATAATATGTAGATTATTCTGATCAGTAAACTACAACAGACGTTTATTTTATTTTATCTGAAAATGGAAAAACGAATTCAAAGCCCTCGACATAATAAGTATGAAGTTAAATCATATTTCATAAAATAATAAGAATGAACATTTAATGTTTCAGGAAAAATACAGACGGTCAAATCTAATTTAATGCAATAACGAAAATGATCATTTCATGTTACAAGAAAAGTAAAAACGGTCAAATCACGTTCAGCCTTCATGAAACAACCCTTTACCCAGCCACTGAAGCAGATGCACGCAGTACGCACTGGTACTTGATAATTTTAGTGCAAGATTATAATGAGCCAATATGAAACATTGCTCCATTTCATTAATAAATGACTAAGATTTACCATTTATTTTCGATAGGATAAATCGCTTCTACTCCAACGACAAAGTTCAACACAGAGTAGTCTGTCTCATTTATATAGTTCATATGACGTGGATGACAAGGAAGATGGGAAGACCAAAGGAAAGAAAAAGCTGTCTAAAGATATTCAAGTCATTTGGGCAAATAATCCTGGTAAGATTGTCTGATTAACAAAAAAAGTTTTTCTCTTCTCCCATCCTATCTTCTCCCCACTCCCTTCTCTTTTATTTATTCCCTCCTCTAGCCTCCCCTCCCCTCCTCTCCTCTCCCCTCCCCTGACTGCCCAGCCCAAGTCCTCCATACTCCAGAGCACCTTCCTACAATGAGGACACTAACTTGTTCAAAACCTAATCTACATCTAACTGGTTTCATTACCTCTAATATTCCAGAGACAGATGCCATATTCACCAAGCTCGGAGCCATAGACATTGTCTTTAGATACGACAGACTGTTAAATGAATGGAAGTGCCTGAAAGATGCAGAAAAGGAATTTAAACGAGTAATGGGTTTGGACCAAGATAAAGATCTTGTACAGTGTATTGATTCTATCCCTCCAGGTAAGGTACTATTTTGAAGCTTGGCAGCAACTGATAAGCATTTCAGTTGTCAATCAAATTCTTGACAGCTCAAGAACTCAAGAAGCACAGGTCACAACTCTTAAAAAAATTATTAAAAAACGTCATTTAACAACACCCATAAGTTGCAGGGCAAAAAATAAGTTTCAAGTTTCCTTTTTGGGAAATGAAATTTTTTTTCATGCAAAAATTCTCTACGTGTAATGATTGCAACATGTTTCATAAAACATTTGATAACCAAGGTTTTCTTACTGATATTATATTCACAAATTTAATTATGTTATTTAACAATTTCAGACATGAGGATAGGCTTCAGTCATGGGCCAAACAACGACAGTGAATATGAATTTCACTTGGACATTGATCCATTGGTGTCACTGGAAAAATTAAATGCCCCATTAATGTTTAACCTCAAGCGAGCAGTTCACCTTTTTACAGTGATATCTAAACAAATGAACATTATACAAGTTACTGGTGCAGCGATTATTAAAGATTTGGAAAGACTTGTCAGTTTATTCAAGCTAAATGAACCTTTTGTTGAAATTAATGGTGTTTGGCACAGTGTTGAGCTACTTAATAGTCAACAGGTGGAGCAGGCATATTTGATCATTAAAGACATTGTGAGTTTGACTGGTTGGCGAAGTCAAGCGATGATGGATTATATCCTGGAACAAGGTGATAAAGTTGACTTGCAGGTTATAAAGGATGATCCTGATAATCACAAAGTTATTATATTTTCTAAAAAGCTAAGCAACTCAAAGAAAAGAAAAATGTGATCATTCCTTATCAACTTCAAGCATTAGGTAATTTTGTGACACAACGCATTCATACCTCTTAAAGTTGGGGCCCCTTATTACAAGGTAGCTCAGTAGAAAAGGGAACGCTGTTATCCAGTTATCCTCTTGGAATTCTTGACCTGGGGGAGGTACAGATATTTTACAAAACTAACAACACCATAATTCCAATCCAATCTTCTATTACTGGTAATCTTTTTTGTTTTGGTATGCCCTAGTAGACCTCTGTCAAGCAAATAAATAATTAGAGTACATAAATGTAAATGGTAGTAATTACAGTTACATATTGCAAATTATAAGACCATGACAAGAATCGTACTATAGCTATAACATAAATGGGAGAAATGTTCCTTACATCCCCTGGACATTTTGATGAATGCATATAAAATTAGTGTTCATACAGTATTTACTACAGCTTTAAAAATGGATACAAAATATTTATGGAGCAAAATTAAGCAAACACACTAGTTTTGAAATTGAAAAAAAATTAATTTTTGTACACATATTAATAATTCTTATATAATTAGTAATATATAAGAATTTGTTACTTGTTTTGCATCTAAATTTTGTATGGCAATTGAGTATAACATTTTTTGCAGACAGATCTGTTATATTTAAAAATTCTTGGCATTAATGTAAGATGATATATAGAGTGAAAATTAATGACAATCCAATTTTTTGACTAGTGGTAAGTTAACCATGCATTACAAAATTATAATTTTTTTCTTTTCCTAAAATCCATCCTTTTTATTTATAAATGACTTTTTGTTTATCTTTTCAAATGCAGTATTCTCTTTCACAGTTCCCTGTGTCATCTTAAAAGGTACTGTAACTGTGCCTGTCCATTGAAGTTAGAATGGCTGTGACCTTGCAAAATATGGTAGAAACGATAGAAACCTTTATTATTATGGCAAAAATATAATTTCTTTCAATGGATGGGATTTTTTTTTAATGATGCAAGGGTATTTCTGGTCTAGTAACACAATGAACAATGTATGACATGTTTTAATAAATGTTTAAATAAATGTTACAAATTCATACTAGACCAGAATGCACTTTGTTTTGGGTTTGGAATAAAAAGTAAAAAAAGAACGAATTATAGAGTTTGCTGTTTAAGCTGCCTATTTGGGTTAAACTGCTAAGGTTTATAAGGTTGTTTTAAAGGGTTTTGTTGCAAATTTATGTTTAACTGCAGGGTAGTTAATAACAAGCTGGTATTTGTTTATATTCTTTTATGCCTTTACCCGTACGAAATTTGAAGCGCTGTAAAGCGCTGCAACAGCGCCTCACGAAGCGCTGTAACAGCGCTGTAAAAACGCTGTAAAAACGCTGTAAAATGGGGGGCTGCAGCAGTTGTGAATTTTGGCTGTCACCGACAGCGCTTGACAGCGAAAATACAACCAATAACAGCGAATCTGCAGCGCTTGTTTTATAACGAGGGAAGGCTGCTAAAAGGCTGCGAAAACAGTGATATGGAAGCCGTAGTTGAAAGACATGAAACATKTTTCATCAACTGTTGAACAAAGCGCTGTTGAAAGACACGCAAGACTAATTGTTTTGATAATATTTAATTAGGCAATGACATATACTAGGCATGCTAAATTACTAGTTCGCTCACTGCTGCCTAAATATAATATTGAGAATGTGGTTGAACGACATTCACACGCGATAACCTATTTAATACAATGACCATTTTGGCATTACTCGRAGATGCGAAACATGTAAAAATGGAAACACATTTATCTTATAGTACAAGAAAGCAGAGCGGTCTCAATAAAACATTTAATAGCCGAGTAAGAAAATCAAATTAAACGAATGTTCTTATCTTATGTTCTTAATAGCCGCTTGTTAAATTTCCTCTTGGCGGATCCCCTCTTGCTCCGGATTGTCTTGGCGACGTCCGTCTTTAGTCCTATGTCTTCCAAACTGTAACACATCGTTTGGCATATACTAAAAATGCGCAAGAAAATATAGGTGTAAGAAGAGCTATTWTGTTTAGTGATAACTTGTAATGTGGAAGGCGAATGATCGATTCACCTACGAGGAACCATTTGTGTCCGCAGATAAGACAAGAGAAAAAGCATCCGATATGTCAACCTAATTTTGTTGATGTACATTGTAGTGTAAATTTACATCAAAAGGTTCCCGCCTACAATAATTAYGCAAGCTTTGGTCTAAATAAAAGATCATTTGATAATAAAAGAAATTAAGAAAAAACATTAAATTGTTTGACATTAAATACACATTTGCAGATTGACTAGCCAAACATATAGTCGGGCATATAGTACCCAAATAAACAACTAGTAGATTAAATTCAGCTCAGAGGGCAAACATTAAAATGGGCGCCAATTGCAAAAGTCGAAAAGTACAAATAGTACAAAAGCAAAATGTGAAAGAGAAACAATAAGAAAAAGAAACAAATTCCCCAAAATTATCACGGTTATGCCACCGATCTACGTATCGTTTTAGTTCTGAAAAGAACTAAGCTACGTTTAGAGTTACCTGAAACAGACTTTATCTCTTGAAGCGGCCTTGAGTTCGACTTGTCTACCTCCATTTACTTCACACAGAGTGCCTTCTTCCAGAGTTGCATTTTGACCCAAAACTATGTCCTCTTCGTGAACTACACTATAAAGCCTTTTCGTCCAACCAACAAACTAGCGCATACATTGTGAATTAAGGACTCAAACTGAGATCAATGAACTCGAATACTTATTTGAAAATACCGCTCAACGGGGTCATGACGTCGCTAAAACATGCACTTCTGATCTGGTCACAGATCTTGTGTCAATGCGGAATTTGACTTGAAGGATATCAAATGCGTATCAAATAAGCACTCAGGCACCGCAGGGACACTTCAATTACCCTTGTGTCAAATATTTTACTTTGCATGTTACAATTTTTGAACGGTTTTCCCTATAAATTTCAGTTACGTACTTAAAAAAGTAAAACTAAGAAGTTAAAAGGGTTTTTAAAGCTAAATATATTCTTAAGGTTAGTTATGCAATGGTGGGTTGGACATATCTGTCACCGCCGTCCTTGTGCTACACACTTGCTCATATTTGCGCGTATTTCATTCTGCTAAAACGTTCCATAATAACATTTGAGGGAAAATAACGGTTATTTATTTAGAGAGAATAAGAGAAAAATATCAATGCCCTTGGCAGGATTCGAACCCACGTCTTCGGCATTCTAGTCCGATGTGTTAACCACTATATACACTACAAGGACCAACCACGCTGGTAACRCAGCCAGAATATGAAATGTAGGGTAATCGTGAGGATCCCAGAGCGAAGGGCATTGATATTTTTCTCTTATTCTCTCTACTTCATTGTATACACACCGAACGCATAATTTATTACTACTTTACTATGATTATTTATTTATGTATATTAGGAGCGCAGGCAATTTCTGTAATCATTGGATTAAATTCATAATGTACGTTTATTTTATACACGTCGGGGTCATGCGGTCATGTAACTAGATTTCGAACAGCGGTATGGTATGTTAATTTGATACATTTCTGGTTAGTTGGGCGCGTAAAATACATTAAGTTAGAGTTACAATCGAGTTGGACTGTCTTTAGAATCCTCCGATCGATCTAGACCTGTTAAATTTGATATATTTTCCCGATGTAGCTGAACTCGGACTTGAACTCTAACTAAGTGATTTGTTATAATTTTCCCCATCTCGCATTATCCTTTTTTTGCCGGCATATATACCTGGCCAAACTGCCCTCTGTGTGAGAAAACTGGTGTTTAGGGCTTTCAAGTAATTGCACTGGGTTGATGTTAGTAGTCCTGGTTAAGCTGATGCGCCTGTTTAGCGATATAATTTGGTGCTTATCAGCAGTCCGTGCGAACATTCAAAGTGTTTGCTGACGGCGACCTTGCAACACAGCTCATTCATTGCATGTACATGCTAAGCTTATATCGATCTGCGATACCCAAGCAAACTATTTGATCAAGCTAGAAGACTGATTAGGAATTAAAGGTCGGAAAAATTAAAGTGTAAGTAATTAACAAATTCAAAATATGAAGAGGCCCTGTTTGTGTTTTCAGCGAGAAAGCGAAATTAGCTTGCTTAGATGAAAATCCGTTTTTTTGTTGTTCAATGTTGTTTCATCTTGGGATTAATCAGTTTTTGGTCTATATCATAAAAACTGCTGTTTATATGCTTAAACATTTTTGTAAGAGATTGCAAAGCTGGAAAATGGCTGTATTTCCGCTTCAAACAAACTTTAGCAAAGAATTAGTCTCAAGACTGATTCTTGTAGTACACGTAGCCCGTGACAGCCATCTAGCTGCGCCAAACAGCGCTGTTAAGTGGCTGCATTTCGATACTAAACGCTGTCTTGAGCTGCATGGCGATTTGACAGCCCGCTGCAAAATGACTTCCACTGCAGTATAGCTATATTCAGGAGGTAAATTGGCTGCATTTCCGCTGTGCATACATTTTGAAGCTCTGTTGCAGCGCTTCACAGCGCTGCACGTTTCGTACGGGATACCCTTAAAAAAAACAACCATGATTTATGTATTAAAATATATTTAAATTTGTTTATAAGATATATAATTAAATTAGTGTGTATCACATGTAAACTTACATGTCTATTTTCAATAAATATAATATAATATTTTTAGTGATTGGAGATGTGAAATAAAGCATTTTGAAAAGAAGTTTGTGGTCGAAATGTTTAATATTATGTTCTTGAAATTATGAATATAACTTAAATTCTAATAATATAAGCTTAGTTTTGCTATAAAGGACAAGGGCTGGTTCACACTTTAACATAAGCATAAGCATAAAGCATAAGCATGAGGAATGGAAACTTTTCCATTTTCTTCTGCTCACAGTGCTTATGCTTGTGAAACGAAAGTGTGAACCGCGGGAGTACATAAGCATATAAGCATAAGAATTACAATAAGTACTATGTTTCTTATGCTTATGTTTATGCTTATGTTAAAGTGTGAACCAGCCCTAAAAAGAAAGGAGTTTCTGCCAAGCTGGGAAGTACAGGACCAACAAAGATAAAAAATATGGATGTGAACGTTGTTTTGTTTCGGTAACTCAGTAGCTAGTTTTTTCAGTCATTAAGCAACTTTTCCTTCACTCTATGAAAAAATACATATAGTTGTTATCATCGGCTAGTCCACACATAAGATTTTATAACGTACTAAAGATTAAAACGTACCTTTTAATATGACCCATGAGCCCACGAATGTGTGCACACCCAAAAGACGGCCAAATTACCATAGCAACCTTCACAATTTTTTCTTATTTCTTATTATTTCGGGACTAAAAAGGGAAAAAAAACCCAATTTTTTGACAAAGGTCGAAAAATATATATAGAAAATAACATAGAAAAGCATTTTCGTAACTCATTATAGACAAAACTTGCCAGCGTAAGATAAGTAAAAACATTTTGACATTTCATATTCTTTTCCAATCTTTTGATTTATATTTGCGACGTATAAATCAGGATTTTTGAAAAGATAATATCAAAAGCGCAAAAAAATAGCTCGCGAAAAAATATTTTGCCGATTTTTTCACCTTTCACATTTATCTAACTTGGGTTCCCTGTGGTGTTATTACGCCATCGTGAATCAAGATGGCGGACGCTAGTCAAGAAGTAAGTGAAGCAACTTCTTCTAAAGAAGAACCCTTTCAGACTGTAAGAACACGCAGTAAACGTAAACTAGAGCAAGATGAGGACATGGAAAAAGACAAAGGAAAGAGTAGGCCAAGTTTCCCGCCTGTGAAGGCACAAAAACTGTCGGTAAGTGAGGGCAAGATGTGTATGTGTGTTCAACACACGTGGTGTTAAAACAATATGGCCTTTTTTGCGCTGTTGGCAAGATTTAAATCAAAGGACTATTTGAATTCAATTGTTCTACAGACACCAGGCTTTAAAACGGGGGAATTGCAAAATAGGTTTCAGGAATGTTGTTAAAATTCTTAAGTGTCCGTGTGAAGCTACTGTAAACTCTAAAAGACACTGCAGGCAACCATTGATTATACTGTATCGAAGTGTTTGGTTGAGTTTTAATATTTTTGAATGGGTTTTGGTCTTGCCCTAGCACACATACTTTGCTGATCTATACCTTAAAGATTCCACTTTTTGCTTGCACAAAGGCCACAGAAACTAAACAGCATCGTGTAAAGAACATCTGTTTGGGAAGGGGGAGTCTGATGTAGATATAAATCATACATGTATTTTCACTACATTAGTAAATATCTTTTGGGAAGCCATAGACCTGGAAATCTAACAGATGTCAGCTGAGAGTAAGAAGTCCAAAACCTGCCCTCCCCTTTCCCCCCTCAATCACTTTCTTTGCAAGCCCTGAGTGATGCTTGCACAATTTTTCAGTAGCCCTCACATTACTCACCTCTCTTTATAATAACATTAGGGAGGAAAGTCAGAAACAAGGAAGGTTCCTGTACCAGCTCACCGATATACACCTTTGAAGGAAAACTGGATGAAATTATTCACACCTGTTGTTGAGCACCTCAAGCTACAAATACGTTTTAATCTTAATACTAGAAATGTCGAAATAAAGGTTAGTCTACATTAATTCAATGTTTAGTTTCAGAAAGCATCAATCCATTATTTCTCTTCATATTCTTCTTTTATTAACCTCCTTTTGTGCATAAGAAACAGTAATGATAAAAAGGTAAATTATACACCGTGAAAAGATGAAAAAACTTACTGACGTTTCGGACGCTAGCCCTTCATCGGAGTAAAAATGCATAAGAATTTTGCATGTAAAAATGGTTTAAGAAATTTTGTTGAAAAACTGGTATTCTATAGTAGGTTATGACATGGGCTGAAATAGGAAATTGTTATGCCCCAGCTAAAAGGGTTTATTAAATAATTATTAATTTTTATCATCTTATTCAAATTTTCAGACGTCGAAAGAGACCACTGATATTGGTGCTATTCAGAAAGCAGCAGATTTTGTCCAGGCCTTCATCTTAGGCTTTGAAGTTGAGGTATGTAAACATGTTTCTCTCTTGGTAGTCTCAGATGGCAATACAAAACAGTGGCCCTGTCTCATTCAGAGATGGCCACAAGTTTATCAGTGCTAAGTTGTGACTGTCACATGTCACCCTTCTAAATAAAGTCAATTATTATTATTAGTTATTATTACCATCTATTCCAGGCATTCTGATCAGTTTGGTGATGAACTTGTAGCCATGCTAATTGTGAGGATCCTGCTCATGTGGCTGGTTTTCAGTCAGATTTATTCTGGTGGACTGGTCACTGTGGTGGGACTCAGTGACAGCAAATGCTCAAACTCTGAAAACTGACATTTTTTATTTTTCACTTGTTGAATGAAGTGTGCCATCATGCACAACATTTACAACAATTGCCTTCTCATATCCATGAATATTATGAGTGACACGCTGCTGCTACCAAGGAGCTGGGAATATTACAGTTTCTCACTTGATTTGTGTGAACATGTTCCATTGAAGATTTGCAGTTTTCGTGTGGGAAAGCTACTAAGCCTGCTTACTGACAAGATGTAGAGTGCAAACAATATGACCGTGAAACTTTAGAAATACTAAATAGCACAATTTCATGCAAATTCCATTGTTTTCTATTGTTTAATTAGCACTATTTTGTACTATTCATTAATTAGTGTTTCACGGATTAATTGTTTGCACTCTATAATGACCGCAAAGGGATAAGATAAACATCAATGTTTTTGAGCATGACAGTAGACATTATGACACATAATCATGGCTTTTTTGTCTTGGTTTGGTAGTTTGCTGACATCCATAGTAATGTGTGTTTGTTTTTGTTGTTGGTTAGGATGCCCTTGCTCTTATAAGGCTGGATGACTTGTTTCTGGAATCATTTGAAATAGGTGATGGTAAGTACAGGATGAGCTTCCAATATCAGATACTAGAGTTACGCTCTATTGATATTGAAACTTTTGCTCCTTTTTTCTTGCAGTAAAACCTTTGAAAGGAGATCACTTATCCAGAGCAATTGGTAGAATTGCAGGGAAGGGAGGAAAAACTAAATTTACCATAGAAAATGTCACCAAAACAAGAATTGTTCTTGCAGAAACGTAAGTAAAATACAATTGTAAGACAGTTCTAACATTTTCATATCATTGAACACTTGAGCACATCTCAAAATTTGACTTTCCAGTTCTCGTCTAAAACTAATATGGTGTTTAATTTTGCAGGAAGATTCACATTTTGGGGTCATTTCAGAACATCAAAATAGCCAGAACTGCAATTTGTAGCTTAATCTTAGGTAAGTGGCAAGATGAACAAATCATTAGGCCAAACAAAAAAATAAGTGTGTTTCCTATTGCACGACCTACCCTAATTTTCTTGCCGATTTTTGCCGACCCTAATATTTTTTCATTCCCAAATGCACCACAGGGTTCCCAGTAAGCTAATTTCCACTGTTGTATCAGTAAAAAAAATCCAACCTACCGATCCCAATTATCTTTCTCATGCAACAGGAAGCACACTTATTTTTTTGTTTTGCCTTATCTGCTCCAAATGGTTGTCTCCCCTCACACTGACCACCAGGTGTTGTCATCTAGAAAGAATTCTATTGTGATTCAGCTGATGAACATTCTGAAGATATCAAGTTAAATCATGCAAAACATGTGTTCTCACAAAAAAATCATCAATTTTGTAGCCTCTCCACATCCCCCTGCCTTGTCCACAGCCCACCCCCTACTTGTTGTTAAATGACTAACCCATTATTCACATTTGATTTTTTTGTGCACCAATAGGAAGTCCTCCATCAAAGGTTTATGGTAACATGAGAGCTGTGGCAAGTAGATCAGCAGAAAGGTTTTAGAATAAATTTTGTATATGAAAAATTTGGCTCACATTATAAACATGCACGGCATGGCCATGGTAGTGGTCAGGGGATGATGTGACCCATCCATACCATAACACTTTCACCACTGAATGAATAATATGCTCTAATAATAGAGTAATTATTATTACTGACAGAATTGTGCCATCAAAGTGGGGAATTCTACAGCAATTTCAATGATTTTATTGTATAGAAATAATATCCATTTATTTGCCATAGGTATTATGCCTGTGGTAAGTACATCTGTAAATTAACAGTGCCCAGAAAAAATCTGGAAGGCTCACAGTTTTTTAGGTTATGAAATTGGTCGTAATCAGAATTTCTATACTTATACTATGGAATTTCTGATTATTACATGTAACCTTTTATCTTGTCTCTGTAACCTTTGTAAAAAATATACTCTATTATCATATAATTATCCATAATATACCTATATTTCTCATTTTCAAAAAAACCGATATTTCCAACTGAAAATAACGTTATTTTCACATGAAAAATAAAAATATCGTTATCATGTGTATTTTAGCTATTAGTTTATAAACAAAAACTTTTTATAATAATAATATGGATAATTTATGGATAATTATATAATAAACAGAGTATGACATGGGCTCTTGGAGATACGAAATTTATCTTCTTGTGTTGAAAATCTCACTTGTGAGAGATCTTTTCAACACTCGAAGATAAATTTCGTATCTCAGTGCGCCCATTTAGCATGTAGCCTGGTGCAGACATCTCGGAAGTGGGTTATTTACATCAATCTGTGAACAGCAAATAACAAAGAGGGTTCCTGCCCTTGAATCTTGTTTTTAAATATTATTTCACAATATAATTTTGAATCACAGGAAAGTAAAAATACTTTGTAACATATTGAAATGAAATATATAACTTCAGTGTAAAAGATGAAAGATAAAAGTCTAGTATTACAAAAATACCAGTTTTCTTTTGTGTAAAGAAATAATTGCATGATGAACAGCTGTTTGGGGTCTGTCAGTACAAATGTTTTCCTAATTAAGGCAATTTTATTTCTATTGGATCTATTATCTTCTCAATAACACAACTCATATTGACGCTTCTCGATATGATTCTAAGGTTTGTCTTGATTTTTGGTTAATTTAAAAAACAAATGAAATTGGATGGCAATTATGGTATCGTAAAAACGAAATCAGACCGAGATGACTCTAGGAATAAAATGGTTAATAATAATAATGGGCTGTTAAAACTATGTTAGGGTGTGCCTTACTTGGAATAGGTGTACTCTTGTTATAGTTCTATATCTATTTTTATAGCTTGTAACGGTACCTGTTATTTCCACCTGTTTAATAAACCTTTCTTTATTTGTTGCATCAACAAGACACCAGTAAAAGTGGGTGTTAATTCAATAGTGGCCGTTCCTCAATGATTGGCCTACAAAAATTTTTTTAAACCACAAACAAATTGGTTTTCCTGACATGCTAAACGTTTTATTGCTAGCTTGTTATCTGTTATCTACTTAGTAAAGAAGGTAATAGTCGAGTAAATAAATATCGATCAGCAGCAGAATTGTGCAAAATTTTCGGAAAATGTTTAGAAATATTTCAATATTTTTTTTTAAATCATTAGTTTTGACCACTGATATTATTTTGTATAGCAAGGTGAACCTCTTCTAAAGATGGCCGAACCTGTTCTAAGTGCGTAAGACAAGCTCGTGTTAAGTTCATGAGTTCGCTGGAGTACCCATTTAGGTCGGACAGCTGAGGTGGTGGACACCCTTTGACTATGTTATTGAGTGTCTCAAACAATGACATTCCTTCATGGACTTTAAAAGCAGTTTTCCTGTGAATCATTTCATATGCTATACACCCTATGAGCCAAGTATCTTGCTTGTCCTTACATGGCCTACCCTCTATCCTCTCAGGGGCTAGGTACATCCCATAGTACATATCTTCTTGTAGAGGTGTGAGACTGTCGTTAATGCTATAGTGCATCAACAGGTTTTGAACTCTTACTTCCCATGTACCGGTCACCGATATCATTTTACTACACAGCTTATAATGACTTATACCATTCTTACTCAAATACATTAAGGCACTAGATAGTTGTCCAAGGACACTCCATATATATTTTTCGTCTATTTGTTCGTTCATATCGCTGTACTGTGCTACGATATCCTTGATACTAGGTGCACAAGGCTCAAAAATTGCACCAATCACATTATTCGCCTCGAAACATACTATAGCTTTGGAAATATTCTCGTGATCAACACTCATCCATTTGTCCTTGAATTGAATAGCTTCATTCCTTAAAATTCTCACTGTTCTTCTCAAATCGATGCACTTGAGCGTGACAAGTTCACCATAGAGAAGGCATTTTCCAGAATACCCTAGCTCAACTAACGAGCCCCAAGTTCTAATATCAAAATGTTCGTCCTTCGTTGAACTGTTCGTTAGATAGTTCACAACGATTTTCGGTATTGGAAGCTTAGCACATGCCTTGTGAACTTCGAATAATCCTACAGACTTTATGATACAAACGATAATATTTTTTCTGCACAAGTGTTGAAGACTGTAAGGCTGTTGCTTTGAAGGGACGGTGTTGCATTGTAGATCGAACCGCAGATCAAGTAAACTTCTTGTGGCCATCAGATTGACTTCCGATTCACACCCCAACGGTGACTTATTGTTCCATGTTGGTGCAGAGAAATATCTGTTTGTTTCTTCTGTGTTCTACATTTAAATAGCAAGAAGTTAAAACAGGTTTCTTGTATAATCGGCATGATTACGCATCATCAACATTTACCATCTGACTCGACGGATTCATCCTATTAATAGATCACTATGTCACGAACGGCCACCGCACGTTTTTATCTCTTTCGTCGTTTGAACGGAAGCCAAAATTGCCTGAATATTAGAAATATTAGGAATAAGAGATGGTATTTACTTATAGGAAGTGTACATAGTAGAGTATGTCGTTACATTTTTTTTTGCTTCCTTCATTGCTAAGTCATGACAGGCACGGTTACATGAGGGTAACAGCGAGAAATGTAAACTACTTCACGTACGTCGTAAAATGTTGAAACCACATTCTAAAGAATAACTGGTCCAATAATTAGCTTTTTATTTTATTTCACTCGAGAAAATTGCTTAATTTAGTTCAGATTAGAATATTTTTCGATAGTATAATTATGACCTACGTTCATAGAATCTTTTTTTTTCTTCCAATATTTAAAACAAGAGTTATGACGTACACTTGTGTACTTCTGAAAATGATGTTAAAATTTAAGACTTTCTTTTTACAATTAACAAGAGAAAATCGTATTAGAATTGCAATGATAATTACAGCAACCGTAAAGAAGACATCCCGCGAGTCTACGGTAAAGAATCATTAATTCAAGTATCGCTTCTGAAAAGTAGACAAGTTTGATCTTGTCCGAGTGAAATTCTGCTTCGTAAGGGACTTGCGTGATATTTGCGTGACATTTTTCAGGTTACGTCATATTTATTTTCAGCGGGACATACAAATTGGATAAAATTTGTACGACGAGCTTTCGGCGACCTTATATATTATGTGTTCGTTTCGGTTATTCGTAGATTTAAATAGAGTTCACTTATCTTATGTGTCGTATTGACAAGTACTACTGCTATTTTCTAATCATAACTGACGCCTTTTCCATCTTCGGGAACCCAGTGGTAAAATTCTGTCGCCAGTTTCTCGCTACGAGGAAAGTGAAAACAAAAAACAAAACAAAAAACCCACAAACAAACAAAAAAAAGAGCAACAAATTTTACCCCTGGGTTTCCGACAATGCCCCCATTCCAGCTAAAAAGGTCTTTCTGTTTTGAATAGTCGTACGCTGTGAATATTTACCGCTGTACTATCAATGCCAAGTAGCGCCGTCCTTTAGCGATTAGCCTTTTTACCTTCGGTACAGTAAAATATTCTTTCTTGTGTTAGGAGACCAAACAGTTATAAAAAACAGGAAAAAATATACAATAATTTTGACCCTTTAACTTTACCTCTGCTCAGTGTCAATCGTTTGATTCAGGTTTTGAGCCTGGCTTGCACTTGCGACGGGATCGAAGTTGGAGTCGGAAACAGCTTTTGACGAAGTCGGAGTCAAAAGCGCGTCAGTATCGGCATCCTTGAGAAAGAGGTCTATTCCGATTCCGTTGCAAGTAAAACTGAACAAGGCTTTACAGGTATGAGGAAATTAAAACGGAAATTTGGTTTGACAACATATGACCAAAATACACCCACGACTACGTGTTATTCCTAGACAGCGAGTGAATGAATTCTCCGACATTTAAACATCTGGGGATGGAATGGGAATGATAACACTAAGGAGAACTTGGGAAGCACGGGTGGCGTGCGCTGCTAATGCGACCTGGGTTACCAGGGCTCGGCGGGCTAGTATGTGAGTAGAGTTGTTTGTTGGTTCTCTCTTGTGCTTCGTAGGTTTTTCCTCCGGGTTCTACGGTTTTCCTCCCTCCACTAAAACCAACTTCTAAATCCTAATTCGATCTATCGGCAGCCTTATCAATAGACCCTTTTCGAGTTCCAAATTACCGCTGTGTTTCTTGATTACGGACTCATTTATTCAGGCTTAGTCTCGATTTTGTGAAGAATATTCACGTGTTCCAGTCAAGGTCCTTCAAGTTTCAAAGTGTTCGTATTGTTGAAGTTGTGCATTCTTTACTTTACCGTTGGTATTTGTAAATATTTAGACACTGATTCAAGGCTAAGCCTGAGTAAATGAGTCTGTAATCAAGAAATACAGCGGTAATTTGGAACTCGAAAAGGGTCTATTGGGTTGCAAAACCTGTTACGCTTTAAGCAGTCCACAGAGGAGTGGTAAACGCATTAGAACTGAACTGGCAACAAGGGTGCAAAGACCGGGGTGCATGGCCATTTGCCATCTTCCATACATCAGTTCTCTTGTCGAACACAAAGCATTCATTCGAGGTTGACCGGTAGTTTCGAAGGAATATCTAAATTTGAATGTTTAGCCTTGATTGAATGTTTCGTATTTGACCAGTGAAACGAATGTATGGAAAGTGGTGAATTTCATGAATATGTCTTGAAACTCCGATTTTAAAATAAGGAATTTGGAACTCCGATTTGGGAATTTCAAATCTACATATTGAGTCCATCTCTTTTTCTCGGAAGCCCAAGGGCCTATTCTGGATGGGGGTTTCAGCGGATGAACGTCACATTTGGTTCCGTACCTAAATTAAAGAGTAAAAATTGCTCAAAAAACCGGATAGCCAGAAAATGATGTATCCAGTTGGTCCTTGCAAGATCTGCACTGGTCCCGAATGGAAGCATTTTCATTTGATATGCTCACTAACTTTAATCAACTCAGTTCAAAGCTTTAACTAGTGCTAGCCCACGATCTTTAATTCACAAAACAACCAAAAAATTTTTCAACTTCATATTCAAATTCAGGATTAATACTAATCTTATACAAGCCGAATCATCAATCCACGAGAACTGTCTACTTTCAAGTTCTAGCAAGTTCACGAGTGAGGAGGTGGCAAAGTATATGCAATGGGGAGTTCTCATGCGAAGAACATTCCATACTTGATAACTCGCAATCGTTTTTTCCCCCTAAACGTTCGGTTTTGCAGAGACTTGAGGGCGAACAGCTACTGCGTTCCTGATACAAAGCATCTTCAAGAATTCCGTCCTGAAGTGCCTGCTCATGATGGGCAGAATGACAGGATTGAAGGTGGTGCCTAGATACAAGAGTGTGATGCCAAACAGCTCAACCTGTCGCGACAAGTACTCAGATTGGTAGGACTCCACCACTATGGTGACAGCCAGCGGAACCCACGACAGAAGGAAGAACAGAGTTATTGCGAACAACAGCTTCGTTGTTTTCATCTGGGACAGGAATCTGTGGGGATGTTGTGGATCACTTTTGGAAGAATCTGCCACATCGGCTGGTGATTCTTGTGCCTCGAGTTCTGGGTCCACTTGGTTGGCATCGCTTGGAGCAGCATCAGAATCTGAACCAATACCATCGTGGGACGATTCTTCTCTGTGGTACTTATGTGCTTTCGAGGCTTCTTGGTTGAAGTCGCTTGGAACAACATTTTTATAATCTGAAACAATGGCAAATGAAGAATATTTCTCTGTTTCATTTTCGTAGGCTTCTTCGTGGTCTACATCCTGACTGATGTTGCTCGTACCTTTGGTTTTAACATGGTCTCCTGATTTGCCAGCATCTGGGTTGTCCGAGCTGTTTCCTTGGATTAGTTTTCCGGCCGTGTTGCAGCGCTGGTCCAGTGCGTCGTGTTCCTTTTCAACTGTACTTTCTTCTGGTACTTTCTCAAGCAAACAAACTGCAGAAGTCATACGGCGCTTTGTCACTCCGGTTACCGGAGAATTGGGGACGTCAGGAGTAAGATACCGGGATGACCGACTGCATTGGTCGACTGGATCACGTTGAGGGTCTCTGGGATTCTCCATGATAGTACTTGCCTCCACCTCGGGAAAGATGAGATGGGTCTTTCTAATCTTGATAAGTACTACAGTATAACACATGATGATAATGATAAACCCACCAATCATTTGGAGCTCGCTCTGAGTCCGGTAAATCACTTTCGCCGCCGGGTTTGTCACAAACAACGCACAGGTGGTGTAACCAGGCATTAAGAATACTTCACTCCAGTTCGTCACGGCAGGCAAAACGGCGTAAATGAACTGGAAAACCCAACTGGATACGATGGTCATGATAGTGGACTTGGTACTGAAGAAGAAGTCATACCATTTGGGACTCAAAGCCAGCAAGAATCGGTTAAAAGCAATCAGTCCTATCGTGTAGAATGTGATGTTTGACAAAAGATAAGTCATGCAACCGAAGGCTTTACAGCCCTGAACGCCCATGAACATCTTGCCTGTGGCTAGAACTCCAGTAGACATCGGGACAACGATCAGAGCCGTCAAGAGATTACCCCATGCCAATGAAATTATGAGATAATTCGTGGGAGACTTAAGTCGAGGGCTCTTGTAGATGGCCATCAGGACCAATATATTACCCAAGAGCGATGCCAATGAAATACTTGCCAGAAGAAAGCTTTCAGCTATAACAAGAGGAATATCCCTCGAGGAAAGTTCGTGTCGCATTTGTTCAAGGGACTTCGAGTTCAGTAGTGAACTGCTATTTGAAGGAGCCATGGGAAGTTTTGGAACATTTCTCTCGAACCGTTTGCCTCAGTCATAACACTGGAGAAAAACCTTTCGTTTAGTAAGCCAAAACACGACCATCTTACTAATATATTCATATAGCGCCCAACACCAAACAAAAAAACAAGGAAATCTAAAAGCTGCATTCACTGGACTCCTTTATCCCCCAGGAAGCAAAATTCAGCCCATTGTTAACCCTACACTTTTGTTGGACATCTATTAATAATTCATTTTTACGGGAAATTGCCTCCAAGCACGGCCATAAATTTAATCAACGGGGGGAAAAAATTGTTACAAAAACTTTCACTTTAGCAAACGACAAAAAGAAAAATTAAAGTTACATAAAAACTAGATCGGAAAAGTCTGGAAAAGCGGTTATTTTGTCCAGTTATCTGGACACCTGTCAAAAAATGTTCTATTTTTACGCCTTCAACTGACACAATGCTAATTCTTTAAGTGAACACGTAGCGGTAAAAACGTTTTGAGGACTATAGATAAGATCAGTGAATGATAAGAAAATCAACAGTCAAAATCTTTTGGTCTTAAGTAAAATTAAAAAATAACAAGAGAATTAATTTAGGTGACATTAAAAAATGTGAAGATTTTTTTTTTTTTTTTTTTTGCTTACACGATTTATGATGAAAATGTTTTTCGGTGAGATGATGGTGCGAGGATTATATACCAACTTGTTAATAAAAATGTTGATTTGGGCATATAGTTTTAATATAAATTAAATGATTAGAGATTACCGTAGTTTGATTGCCATTTTACTGTCAACACTAAAATGACCATCTTGTCGTTATTTGTTTTATATTAACAATGTGTGCATGCCTAAATCAACATTTTCATTGACAAGTTGTTATGTAATCGTTGTCAATGGCTATACGAACCAAGTCTTCAGTAAATCAAGGCCATAATAGCGACTCGTTATATCATCATTCCAAGATATCAATTTTTTTTTTCAAAAACGAACGTCAAGGCTGAGAATTACAAACCCGTCCAAGAAAGTTATGGAAAGCAAAACCTAGTTGACCACTTTTCCCACTCCAATTCAGACTGATATACGTATTTTATTGTTCAATTTTGAAATTTTTTTCATTTTATTTCGTTTATTTCTCTTTAAGATTTAGTAAGTAACTCTTCTGAAATCACGGAGTTTTTGGAAACCCACAGTAACTAAGAGAATGATTGGGAAACCAATCATTGGAGCTATTCCTTGTTCATTCATACTGCTGTAGAATAAGACTTATAGGATCAAAAGCTTTGTGCTAGAGTTTTTTCAGATACTAAGTTCGTGGAGGCGGTAAAGCTTATTTATTCTTAGATGAATTTTTCCATTTTGAAACTTTTTTTGGCCCACTTTCCTCTCGAAAAAGAATTTCAAAATGTTTAAATTTTCAATGGAAAGACGGGCTAGAGATGGCCTTCTTATAACTAGTATTCTCTCCACCCCCAATCGGTAAATAATGTCTTAATATAACGGCATGTAGCTACCATTTTAAATTTTCTCCCGTACCGTTTAATTACAATCTTTCATGAAGCTTCCTGGCCAAGGCGCGTGAGCTGCAACAAGAAAACAAAATTCATATCCATCCTAAAAATACCAATCAAAAACAAATGTCCTAAAATAATTTATTGCTTATGAAATATTTTATGCACCATCTTCGTTCAATCATAATACATGAGAATAATAAATTTTATTGAGGTGTCTGTATATTTAGATGAAAAAATAATTGAGATGAAAAAAAATAATTGGGACAGATTTGGGTTTTTATTTTTCACTTTTTACGCTTTTCATTGTCGGGGTTTAGTAACGACTCGTGTTGCGCTGGATTGTGAAAACAAGACAATAATAAAAATCGGCTATTTTGAATCCCCAAATTCACACCAAACAGTTTCCTTGAATTTCGGAAAATTGAAAGATGTCCAGCTGATTTGAGAAAAAATGTTAGCCAATCAGAATCGAGAAAATTTGCAAAACTGAGGCATCACTTTTCCTTTTAACGTCATTTGTACGTCACTATTAAGATCAGCTGAGTGTCAAAAATGATTTTTTTCGCGTCTCTACGAAGGAGATTTTAGGTAATTATTCGTCTGCTCACCTGTTTTAAAAACTGTGTTGCATTGATAACCTCACTGGCGCCGTAAATAATCTTCTTTGTGCCCGAATTTCTCTATAAATAAAGGAATTTAATATGTTCATCTGTAGAAATAATAGACATCTAAATTGGAAGTTTAAGCTACGGATCCAATTCTACAAAAATAAAAATCATTAGTTAAAAAAAGATACAAAGCTTCAAAGGCGTCAAACGACGTCAAATCCCTTATCGTCCAAGTGTGAAGTACTTCATCCCACTAACATTAAAAATCTGGCGCTAGCACTCACGTCTGCTTTTCGTTGCTTTTGCCACATTTTACAAAATCTACTTATTCTTTCGTCTTTTCGTTTTCTATACGTTTCCATTTGGTCTTCCTATTCTTTATTTTTAGGCTAATCGTCTTTTTAATGAGGAAAAAACTCGATAGAATGATGTATTAACGGTTTAAAAGGACCAAAAAAGGTCGGTATGGAAAACAGACTTATACGCGCAAAAAAAAAGCGAACGAAAAATAGCTTTAAAAACCTAAAAGATGGATTTTTGATTTAGAGTTTTAGCATTTTTGGCTCAGTGTTGCTGTTTTTATTTAACTCTAGTGTTTATACAAATCTTCCCTGCTAGGAAAGGAGACTGATTCTCTGCCAAGAATCACCAACGAGGGAGACTCTGCTAGCAATGAAATACAAATAATCTTTGAATATTTCCACAGAATAAGACTCAATATTTGGTAATTCCAAGGTGTGTTCGGCCTTTTCAGATTACCTTTGAATAATCCATAAGGTTTTGGTATTCAATAAAATTGCCTCCACCGACCATAAACACGATGGCCTACAAATAAACGAAATAAATATACGAATCAAGTAATAGAAATGAATAAAACAATATCAGAGTTACTCCGAATTTTCTCCAAGTTATTCTAATTTTCCGCCATCACACGCCTAAATCCAAAATGGCGCACGGCCGCCGGGTGAAGACGAGGCATAAAGGGCCAAATTTACAAATTTACAGTATTTTCTCATAATTTGACGCCGCAAAATTGTTGTGTTCCTGAATGTAAGAAGGAAAGAAAGACCGAACAAGTGTATACTTTGCATTGACACAACATTATTTCTTTGGATGCCTCATTTTCATGTAACTCACTCGGCCGTGCGCCATTGAGACTTTCTAAAAATTACTCGTCCTATTCTTCCCTTCCAATTGTTTGCTCTTCGCAACGTCTTTAATTTTTGGAATGGGCCCACAACCCATAAGAGATTCACTCCATATCTTTTACGAATATATCTTATCATTCGTAGATGGTGGGAAATTTCTTAAAAGAAGAGGTAAGCGAAATTCTGTGAAATTTTCATTTGGACGAGGCATGCAGGGTTGGGGAGGGGGAGGGGGAGGGGGAGGGGGGAATTTGCGCGTTTTTTATATCTAATTTACAACCATCATACCTCCTGGAACGGTGTTTTATTCCTTGGGATTGACATACTATCGATAAAATAAAATAAAAATACATAAAATAATCCATTAATAATCGTAATAAAATAAGAATGCTAACAAACTGTAAACGAGTTGCATAGAGAAAACATCTGGTGGCCTCACCTGTCAGTGACGCGTAACATTTTGGGGTCAAAATACCGAAAATCCTCTACTTCCTGCAAGAAATAATAAAAATAAATTAAAAAATAAAAAGACAAAAGACAAACTTTAAATACATACATTATATTGCATCTAAAAGACTGGAAACTCATTTCACAACAAAGCCACGGGCTGTTCTATGATTTTGAGTCTAGTGGTTCATCCCAGAAATACTTGTTCAAAATTTGTTCATAAAGAGTTGCTCTATTTCTCCTTCTTTCTGCTTAGGTCTGTTCCAGGATGTCAACCCTTTACTAATCTACTAATCTATTGCAATTCCCATTTTCATTTTTTTATTTATCTTATCTTTCAACCTATTTCATCCATTTACATCACTTCATCTATTTTTACCATTTATCTTGACTGCAGATGTATCACGTTACATACCGGATTGGATTTGTTGTCCATCAAAGCATCCAGCATTCGTGTCACAGGTAAATTCTGGTGAAAAGATGAACAATTACAGTAAATTCCATATTTTATCAGCCCAAAGTTCTTTAAATATAAATTTCAAACATGACAGGAGCTTGTTTAGTTGGATTTGCTGTGGTTGACATTTTACCACAGGTACCCCACAGGGTGTAAGGGTGTTGTACCTTGTTGCCCACTACAAGATTCTTGACACCTTCCATGACAAACTGAGATCCTGAGCTCATGATACGAGAAAACATGGCACTGAAAAAAAGATAAGATGAGAAATAAGTGATTAAAAGAAGTGAAGTATGCTGCATACTCCCTTCAGACCCTCCTTGTTCCTTGGAACAATGCCAATTTTCTTTGTGGGCGAGGCATGAATATTTTCTGGAGCTACAAAATAAACTCTTCTCAGACCCTCCTCACCCCTTAGAAATTCTACCCCCTCTCTGGAAGAGGTATGGATATTTTTGGAACTACCCAACATATCCTCTTTAGACTCCCTCCACTTTTTAGGAATTGTAATTCCCCTTTATGGGGGAGGTATGAATATTTTCTGGAACAACACAATTTATCCTCCTCAGACCTTCCCCTCTTCTTGGAAATTCTTATTCCCCTCCATGGGGGGAGGTATGAATATATAATAGCTAAACCATATCATAAAGAAATTATTAAATTATGTACTGCACTTTTACAAACCTGTATGTGTTTTGTCCCCCACCGCCTGACTGTACTGGTGCCGTGGTGATCTTTGTGAAGGCTCTAGAATAAAATAAAAAATTATGAAAAACTAAGATTTAGTTTTTTTAAATTCCTCCATTGTCCAAGTTAAAAATTCCCACAAATTTCAAAACAATAATTTATGCAATGTCCCAAGATATCGTAAAACATTCTGATCTTCCCCTTCCTCTTCTAAACCCCCCTCACCCCCAGATAAATAATAAATGGTCACTGAGTACTTACTTCCATTTCTTGATGTAACTGAGTGCAGCAGAATCAACACCAACAGCAATAAGGGCTGATGCATACTGGTCAAACTCAGCCTTTGTTCAAAAAGGAAAAAATATCACTTAACAAAATTAACTAAGCACTGGATAGTCAGTCATAAAGAACCAGCTGAACCAACTAACTACCTACTAAAGACAACCTGCATGCTCAGATTTCATGGGTTGAATTGCCAGCTCAACCAATATTAAGATACCTTGCAGAGGCCCTTAGGAATGAGGTCATTCCTTTGAGCTGCTACACAGACTAACACACAGGGATTGCAAGTGCCTTCAAGTGGCTTGGATTACAAATTTATTACAAATTTATTACAAATTTACAAATGGCTGTCCTGTCCATATTCAGGACTGGTAACCAATAATGGAGGGATGTGTGAGAATCGCTGAGGATGTAAAGACACCCTTGCAGTGACCAGCCTCAGTGTCTGCACTCATATGACCTCTTATGACTGTAAGCACCTTTGAGTATTATGTAGATAGAAAGAGCCCTATATTTAAATCATACATAGAGGATATTACATGAGCACGCGGAGATACGAAATGTTGGAGTGTTAAAAAGAACTCTCACAAGTGAGGGCAGTGAATGAGTGAGAAATCTTTTTAACACTTGAAGATGAATTTAGTATCTCCAAGCGCCCACATAATATTCTGTTTATTATATAATTATCCATAAAATCAACTTGACAAGCTTTTTATTGTTATAAAAAGTTTTTATTTACAATCTAATAGCTTAAATACACATGGTAACAATATTTTCACATGTGAAAATACATGTTATTTTCACATGTGAAAATATATCAGCTTTTCGAGAAATATAGGTATTTTATGGATAATTATATGATAAATCATATTCTTTTATCTTTACATCCAATATACTTACAGGTGACATGTTAGGACCAGATACAAAATAGATAATAAATAATCGTAGCTTATCTTCTGCGGAGCCAGCTGTAATCAAAGACATAGTAGTTTTAAAGTTAACGATATCCAGAAAAACGACCTTAACACAGTGAAAAAAGTTCTAAATTGAAAAGAAAGTCTCGTGATGCATCGACCTACCATCAGGGTCTTGTATAATCTCCAAAATAGATTTATCCTTAAGAAGAAAGTAAAATAAAGTATTCGTTTAAAAAAATATTTTGCAACAACAACAACAAAAAGAATATTTGCGAAAAATAATAATAATAACATGAAAAAATTGATTGAACATGTTTCCAAGTGGCTGTTAGTGTAATAACAAGTTTTGTTGGAATTAAAATGATTCAAAAACCAGGAAACCCCAGCCCAGATAAGAGAAGTAAGTACATGTAGGGTTAAGTACAAAAAAGAGGTAGGTTGTACCCCTACCATCTTTTTTGCACTGCATGACATGATATGGACTTTGATCACATGGCACCAATATTGTTTCTTGCCATGAGAACATTAACCTTTGTTTAACTCCACACAACCTCATCCTGATGTGCTTAAATGCAAGGCTACATAAAGAAAAGTTTATTGTCCCAATCAACATGGCTGCAGTGTGAGAATAGTCCATTGAAAATGGGTGATTTACAAATGATTATTAGGGTGCTCTGTGGTCCTTGAAGACAGTTTGGAATAAACTGTGATGATTTTCTTAATATTACTAATGAAGATTTGCAAATGATTTCTTACCAATGTAGTTTTGCTCATAATTTTTTCTTCGGTTTCAAAGTAAATATCTAGCTTCCTGGTCTATAAGAGATCATTAACGAAATGTGTATTTAAATTCCAATCCTGCCATAATAATGAGTTAAAAGCAAATATGATTCTCACTTTGATTTGATCCAGAAGAGCTGTAGCAATATTTGTGTGCATGTCAATTACTTTCTTTTTTTCCAGGAGTTCTGGTAGGGAACTAAATGAAAATTGGAAAAAAATGGTGTTAAATTTGTAGAAATTTATAGTTTATACACCTTATACAGTATAGTCCCATCATTTTGAGCCTCACATATCACTATCTTCCACTAATATCAAACTTAATACAGTGTCCCATGGATTTGCTTCAGTGTGTAACATTAGTAACAATTTTACACTGCATAACTCAATCCTGTTATTCATAACCATTTTCCTGAGACGATTGAACTCAGCCTTGAACTGTAATTATAATTATAAATTTTTTTGCTGTACAGTATTGCATGGTAACTGTACACATATTTACTAATTTGTTGATTAGATGACGGCTTGCATGAAAACAATGGGAAGCCACTTTAATGTTATGGCATATCTATACTGTGTTTATGTCCACTTGCACAAAAAGCACCCTGGCTGATAGCTGATGCAGGTTCATTAATAAATTGTTTGGTGGTTAGAGATATCATTCACTTTCCACTCTTGTCTATTATCTACTGTATAAAATAATTATGGAGCACATTTAGCATGCCTACCTTACGGCAGAGGTAAGCTTTGCCGTGCTGTCGTTTAGTAACTCTGTCATGGCTTCTTCATTACTGTTATCCATTCCCTACATATGACAAAAACAAACCAAATTAGATCTGGTACTAAGTTTACACACTGTCAAATCCTAGATGAAGTGAGAACATTTAACAACTAGTTGTGTTGCATGTTGTAAGTGCTGTGAGGCTAATTTACAGAATAAAGCTTAAATTTTTTAAATCTTAAATTGTCTTTTGAAAAGCGGCCCTCTTAGGAAAGTCAATAAAGTGTGTCTGTATGTATGTAAATGTGACAATACCAGCTGTAAATCTGAAAACGTCAACAGTAAATCTGACAATGACATCATTGAATTGGACAACGCCTTCATTAATTCTAAAAGCCAAAAGCCTGACATATTTTTTTAATTAGTATTTATACATGAATACTACTCCACATACCATAACATGCTTTAATCTCTTCACTTCTTCCTCTGATTGTCTGTATTCATCCAATTCCTTCTGTATGGATTCAGCAACTGTTGGAAACGGACTTCAAATCCAAGGATAGGTCAATAATTAGTTAACATCTTATACAGTATGTGCAAAGGAAACCGTGCAAAATCTTCAGTAAACTCCCTCAAGTTCTCCCTGTTTTTTTTTACCAACCACACCCTGCCTTTTTCTAATTGTATTAATTATTCTTAATAATTAACTGCTACACTTACAGTCTTTATCAATTAATGATTATAAAAATAATAGGTACATTGTATGAAAAATCCCATCCAGGAATCCTAAAGCCCTGTTTACACTGSCGATTTTTGCTGTGATTTTTCCTGCAACTTTTGTGGCAATTTTTGGAAATATGAGATCTTTTGTCTTTTCCTTCAAAAGAGACATTCTTATGGGAAAATCTTGGTATCCTGGAAAAAACTTAACGAGTAAATTCTTTACCATTATTTATTATAGACAGAATTGCAAAAAAAATTGCAGCAAAAATCACCACAAAAATCGCTAGTGTAAACAGGGCTTCAAAGAGCTTATTTGTATCGTAAATGGAAATTTAACATTGCTTCCACAGAGTGGCTCTCCTTTCACTAAACTCAATTAGAATTAAGAAGTTGATTTTTGCAGAGAGCACAAAACCAGAGAACTTAGAGAATAACCCCCAAAGCACAAGAGAGAACCAACAAACAACTCTATTCATATATGACATCAAGTCCAAGAATCAAACTCCAGTCATATTTCCAAGAGTCAAGTATCCTTACTGCTATGGTACTGCGATGCTTCCTGTGATTACTTTTTACAGACTGTCTGAGAATGAAAAGCTGTCTTTTTATGAAACTAGCAATACCAACCTGCCCTTATGTGTAGCCCAAAATTTGTCTGTTGTATGAAGATCGTAGGTCTTGACTTTAACTTGTTTGGGATGCCTGTGGTGGGCATCTGGGTGCTCTTCATTGACAGTTGGTGGTGTCTCTCTTACCGTCACTCGATTTAAATGCAGGTCCTGTTCAAAAATTAGTTATTCATTTAGTTGGCAAAGCTAATATAATAAAATAAAATAAAATAAAATACTGTAAATACGTAGAATTATGCAAGTACAGTTTAAGTCACCACCAACAACATACTTTCTCAAGACTACACTCACCCGGACGATCACATTTCACACCAAACTTTAACACCTGGGTTCAAACCATTTACTCTTATAAGTACAGTTTTATTACTGTTTCTTACCAAAACATCATGCGCTAAGGCCTGATACGTCCATGTATGATGAAGAGGGGTACAAAGATCCATGTTACGATCCAATATTACAAGAACAGGCCGATGGAAGCTATCAAAAGAAAAAGATAATATGGTAAATTTTATCATCCTTGATGCATCAATGCATAGTTGGCTTGAATTAAAATTTGTAAGATTGTTCCAAGTTGGCATGTAAAAACTTAACTCAATATTAAGTACCTTATCTGTCCTGATGGTATGTCTGTTGTAAATAAACTGTTTCTGGAGTCTCTGAGATTTTCTCGAAGTTTTTTATCAAGTCCCTGATTAGATAAAAGGAAATTGAAGAAAGAGATGCTTCTCGATGTCTGATAGTATTTTATTCTACAACGATGATAGAGTCCTAAGATACAAATATATAAAATCTAAGCTAAATAATAGCACTTAAAGTAAATCATGTATAGATAAATGTGAAGTAAACGATTACACATATAATAAATG